CCCCCCCCCCCCCTCTCTCCTGCTGCAGATCAAGAACTGAGGAATGTCATTGATAAGCTGGCCCAGTTTGTTGCCCGGAACGGGCCAGAGTTTGAAAAAATGACAATGGAGAAACAGAAGGACAACCCCAAGTTCTCCTTCCTCTTTGGGGGCGAATACTTCAGCTACTACAAGTGCAAACTTGCTATGGAGCAACAGCAGCGTATGTAGTTAAAGGGACAGTCCATCATAAAACCATGTGCACAGAGATATTTTTATAATGTTGGAATGTTCAGTTAATTTGGCATTCAAGATCATTAGGTCCTTTCCCAGTTCTGTAGAAGCCTTCATGAAATGAATAAAAGTAATTAATTGACATGCAGCTTGTACAGTTGAATAAATGAGAACAGGCCAGTAAGTGACATGTAATTAATCTGAACATGTAACACAGCCCTGTTCTAACTTAATTAGAACATCTTGTGCAGCCAGATACAGGAAGTCCTGGCTGCATTATTTCCTGTTTTTGGAGAAAGTGTTGATTGAACTCTCCAGCATTATATTAATAATGTGTATTCTGTTTTAGAGTGGATTTTTCCTTTGCGTTTATAGGCATCCAAAACCTGCCTTTGTGCATCCCTATCAAGGAAATATTGTTACCTACTTCACTGTACTAACGTGTGGCAGAAGATAGCTCGTAAAGTCTGCTGGCATGTTGGCTGTGTTCTACAGTAGAGCACCAGCTGTACAACCACAAACTGCCTCCATCTTCTAGGCTGTGTTTTCACTGCAGAGCCATGTAGAGATGACCAGTGCTGAACTGAACTTGGATTTCACTCTTAATTTGAAACAAGACTAGGGCTGGGTAAACAATACCCAGAGAAATCTACCATTTTGAGTACAGTGTGTCATAAGTGATAAAAATAGTACCAAGTTTGTAGTAAGCCAAATTTTTCTCCAACATCTGACATGTGGTTTATTATTCTCTGTCCTCTGCACTGTGTGTGTGTGTGTCTGTGTGTGTGTGCGTGTGTGTGTGTACATCATGATACAAGCAGGACAGAGCTAAATGTATTATGTGCTAAAGAAGACATACTGTATTTCTAGAAGTCTGTGCAACATCTGCATTGTAATGCACTGCTGTGTTAATGAACCCAACCATGTGTTCGGCCAGCAAATAACGGCAGGAAACAGTTGATTACAGTCAGTCAAATTTTTCTCTACAACTTATCTAAAAGAATAGTGGTCTAGAAGAAAACCCTTAATTAAACTGAAGTTAAACATAAATGATTAATACAACGTTTCTGAAGCACGCACCCTATTTTTCTTGATTAAATCTTTCTATCTGTAAGAGAGTGCCAGAAGACACAAATTGTCACTCATGTCTCCTCCATATCTGATGAGTCAAATGTTTAACTTAATATGTAAATGAATAATACAGTGAGTTCAATAATTTTTAATAGCTGAATCAAGATTCAGTTCTATTCAAGTCAAACAGAGTCAGGGTCGGATCTGAGTTCCCATGCATCCTGGAAAATCTGGAAATTTAGAGATTATTTTTTAAGTCAGGGAAACACCTGGAAATTCATTAAAATTACCAAATATCCTGGAAATAATCTATTTTGTTCTGGAAAATATTTTAGCCTGTTCTGTAAATCAATGTTATGGCCAGAGGAAAACTGTAGTCAGTTTGCAATGCAGGAAAGTGGCTGAAACAAAATAGGAAAGGTCTTTAAATACTGTCTCTGCCAGTATTTACAAGCTGTGAAAAGATGCAGTTAAAAGTAAATTGATATTTTAGCCCAGTATCACCTGCTGCTGTTTAACAGATCAACTTCAGACATGGCAACACTGCATTTAAGTGGTATGCCAGCAAAGAAATTAACCCCCCCCCAAAAAAAAAACCCAGCACAGGAGTCCATGTTCTCAGTCCAAAAATGGTTATTCTAAAGGCTAAATCACACCACTGCACACTCACCAGGCAATGTGTTTTTTCCATTATAATAATTGACCCTGGCATAGGCGTTTTACATAGAAAATAATAGGGTCGGCTGTTTTAACACGTGCAGTTCAATGGCAGTGTGTTTTAGCCTTAAGGTAACAACACAATTCCTATTTTCAGGGGATTATACACTAATGAAAACATACCTATAAACGTTTTTTTTCTGCCAGTAGAGCCTCCTAAATGTTACACACTGGAGCTTTAAATGTGGTTTTGTTTTTGTAACAACTACAAATCAATACTAATTACTATGCCAGTATAGATGTAAAGTAAGTCTTAAATTACAGTCATAATGGTCCTACAAATGTCTTAAATGTAACCTGTTGAAACCTGCAGAAACCGGATTAAAGAACAACATGCATGTCCCAAACAGAAACCATTTCAAGCAGGAATTATGCATGAGACTGTTTTTACGTCACTTTTATTGATATTATTTCTCAAAAGCAATTACAGTTCTTATGTCTGTATGCTCATTCATGCCAGTCACTGCCTGTATTTCTCAGAATAGCTTTGGATTGAAATCTCTATAATATGGAGACTTGAAACGTGAAATCCGAGAGGGAATATAGCTCATGTTCTCACAGAATGTGTTTGTGAACGAGTGGCGCCGACTTGTTTATTCAACATCTGTTCCTCGCTCCCTCCGGCTCTGGCTCAGGCTCTGTTGGCCCGGTCCTCGAATGGGACTAAACATTGCTCTGCAAAATGAAAACCTGCCACCTCACTTGTACTCTCTCCACCAATTGTTTTCAAAAGGGTTAATAGTGGGGAAAAAGAGCAGCATGTTTGCTTTGTCAATTCCTATATCTTACCTGCTTTGTGCTGCTGAGGGAGCTGCTGAGTGAATGAAGACTAATGCGGTGCTTACGGTCATTAAAGCACAGTGCAGTCAGCATTAGCTCAAATTGATCCTTTCTGTCCCCTCCTTCTCTCCTGTCTCACACACTCACGCTCTTTTTTTGTTTTCAGAGATATTCCAAGGATACCAGACAGCACACATGCACAACTGGAATCAAGTGAGTCTTGTCAAGATCTTCAGCCTATTTCATTATCCCATTAATCAGCCTAGAAACATCAAGTGAAGGAAATGTCTATGAGAGTTGCTTCTGTCACTCTGTATTTCTGTCTTTCACATGGCACGCTTCCTTGCCCTCTTTGTGTCTCTCTTCTTGTCTATGTCTTTCTATCCTTCTTACTACCATCCCCCTCTTCTCTCTTTTATCTCTTCATGTTACTAAAAGCATCGTCACTACTAAATAATCTGACTGTGTCGTCTGTGCCTTGTCAGGTTCGAGTTCTTTTGAGTCTCAGAAGATGGATCGCCCATCCATCTCCGTCACGTCCCCCATGAGTCCCAGCATGCTGAGGGACGCCCCCCAGTACCTGTCAGGACAGCTCTCAGTGAGTGACCTCAGCATGACATACAGACTACATGTAAAATCCTCTAGAGGGACTGTACTGTTAGATTGTTTTGCCATTGTTGAAAATTTAAGTAAGCAACGTAAAATAGGTTAAGGGTTATGGAGTCCAAATGACTATATTGGAATGTGCTGTTCACAATTTACGTTTATTATGCAACTCAAAGTATAATTTAAATCCTGGTTGAAACCGGCACTACCCGGCACAGGATCTCTCACTCTGCCCCTTCAGCTGGCCCTTTACCAACCCAGCGCAGTATTGTAGATTAGGTTACTGTGTGTGTTGTCCATTATCTAGTATAAAAACCCTCCTGGGGTAAATGGGTAAAGGGCTGCATTAAAGTAAGAGATAAATCAACTCTCAAATTTAGGACCCACAGGGGAAATAGCTTTAGTATCTGGGTAACACCTCCAGGACATGTTTTCTCACAACATCAATATTTATGAGAAATAGTTGTGTTTGACTGACATTGGATTGAAAGCACTACCAATCTTCATGATCTTAAAATTTGACTGTTTTCAAGTATTTTTAGCTTGTGTTATATTAGGAAAACAGGCTGTTTCCAACAGCTATAATGAACTGTAGAGTAATTTGACTCACATTGACACCGTTACACTATTACAGCCAATTAGAAATAAGCACTTAATTCTGCAAACACCAAATCTTGAACAGATGATTCTTATATTCTACATTTATTTGAAGCGACTGACCTTGAAATTCAAAAATAACTGATCACTGAAACAGTTGAGTTGATTGAATACACCTTCTGCAGTGTTTGATGAGTAATTCTACACAGTAAAGAACTGTATGATATTTTTGGAGCAGTCTTTATATTGTGCTTATAATGGGATAACAAATGGTTTACCGTCACTGTGAGGCAAGCTTTGAAGCGGAAGAGAAAAGGTCCAGAGTAGAAAGAGAGATGCATCCTATGCCGAACAGAGTAGAGAAGCTCAGGGACAAACAAAGCAGTGATGCCAAGCTTTAAGTGAAAGGTGAGAAAGTAAAGTATGAATAGACCCACTGGCCTAAGTCTCCCATCTGAAACTACAAATTTGTGTATTGTGAGTTTTTGTTGTTGTTTTGTGGGGTTTTGGTTTTATTGCATTTTCTTTTGTTTTCTTTGTTTTTTGCTGTTTAATTTTGCTTATCCAGAGCCAAAGCCTTAGTAGAAGAACAACGCCTTTTGCCCCTAGGGTCCAGGTAATGGGCCCTGTCTGAAGGGCACAATCTCTATTTGGTCTTTGCTCATTGACTGTTGACTGGCCTTTTTCTGTTTCCATACTTTGGAAAATGCATTCTTGGGGAAATGGCAGCTTCAAGTTTCCCTCTCAGTGCAGTGCATTGTGTCATTTTCTTCAATTTGATTTCTTAGTATCACTGTTATGATGAGAGTTCTTATTGCTCATTTTAACCCATTCACATCATTATTCCTAGGTAGTGCATGCTCAACTAATCTGAACACATTTTAAGAGACACTCTTTCATTGCCTGATTTGACGCCAGTAATTGACCCTACTTTGTGTCCTACATATTGGATTCTTGGCAATGCAGGAGGGTGTCTCCCTGAGCTTTTTAGGACAAAAGACTTGGGTTATTTTCTGCTTCAGTGTGACATGAACCCAGGCCTTGATGACTGCAACCCAACACACATCTACAGGAGAACTCCTTCATGTGCGAGTTGAAGCGATGTTAATTAGCAGCTTATGGTTGATGGGTCTGCAGTTTCATGTTACAGTGAAAAGATACCAAGTCACCGTCTTGTGTTGGAAACCAAATAGCATTTTCCCTTCCAGATTAGAGTTAGCATATAAGCAAATTGTACCTCCCAAATAACAAACTATAAACTGAGCAAAGTTCTGACGGCTTTGCTTTGCTTCGAGGGTCTCTTTTAATCTGTCATCTTTAATATGGGTCTGTCTTTAACACTTGAAGGTTTCCTGGATATTTTTTGGGGGGATATTTATTTTGCTGACACTGTTACAGGATGTTGTTTTGCTTAAGGGTACTCTCTAAATACCTCACATAGATCTGATGAAAGAATATTATTATATAATGTTAATATAATATTGTGGGTTTTCAAATTTAGAGGGGTCAAAACACATGACAGGGAGTTAAAACGTTTTTTCCAGTGTATGTTTTCACGTGTGTACTCTTTGAAAGAAATGTATGTTTCAGTTAATTAATTATTAGATTGACGCATTGTAAAGCCACTTCTGTTTGTATATCTGAGTAATTCAAACCACGTTTGTTATCACACATAATATAATCATTATGAATCTTGAGATGTTTTACCAATTTAAGGACAGAACAGTAAATTCATATTTTACAGTATCTGAAATTTTGGTGGGCTACAAGTTTAGAAGTTATTTGGTACAATTTGTTTTCCCATAAGCCCTTTGCTTACTGCCTATATGAAATCTCTTGACTTGTCTTGAATGCTCTCTCTTGCGTTGCTGCATGTATAGGTGGTAGTTTTAAATGGTGCAGACCCTTTCCATAATCATATTTTTAAAGAAGTATGGACAAAAGCTTAGAAGTTTTATTTCTCATTTCATCTACTTTCTTTAAGGCCTCAGTTGGATTTTTTTCTTCTTCTAAGTGTCTTCTTTTAGAGTCCATACTTCCCTTTTAGTGTGAACTGTCTTCGATTCCTCTCGCAACAGCATGATTGATTTCTCCATGTCAATGCCCATTGAATATCTGAGAGAACATTATTAGAGACAACATCATCACTGGTAGACGGTATCATTTCAACAGAGCACACTGTTTTAATTTTAGAGCATGTTGCCTTTAGCATTCCACTTCAATTCACTTTAGTCAAAATGACATTCAGGCCTACTGCATTCAGTAAACTTTATTCATCCCTGTAGGGGAAGTTTTTAACGACAAACACTTTACATTAAAAATAACCCACAATGATTATGTATATATAATAAAAATGGCACCATGCACATAACTACAAAAACACCTTTTCATTACTTCCTTTAACCATAGAGACTAAAATATGATATTTTAATGTCTTATTTTGACGTTTCTAGCTTTATCATACCATATGAACACACACTGATACAGTGAGTCCATGTTTTAATGAGCACTTAAGCTCTGATAAATTCCCCTGCCAAGCATGTGATCTGACATCATCAGCAGGTAGACATCTTCCTGCTTTTCTCTAAAGGGTAAATACAGGAGAAGACCTTATGCTGTAGTCAAAAACAATAGAAATGCGATAGGCCTCAATAAAAGAAGACACAAAGGCACATGTGATAACTTTACTTCTAATTTGATGAAGTTGTCTTCTCCTGCATTAGTCCCTCTGTGTACTCGTGTCGGCCCTGACCAGTCTCTCACAAGGTTGTCTCTGCTCTGCCCCTGCAGGTCAAACTGTGGTATGACAAAGTGGGCCATCAGCTAATCGTCACCATCCTGGGCGCCAAAGACCTGCCACCCAGGGAAGACGGCCGGCCCAGGAACCCTTATGTCAAAATCTACTTCCTCCCTGATAGAAGGTAAGAGTAGAGACAGTTACCATTACCATGTGCTTATTTTATTTGGGCCAAATGGAGTTATTATATATTTTAGAAGATTAATTCTGTATTTGTGTGGATTTTTGATTGATGTGATGTCACAAAATTATGTGTCAAATGCTTTTAGCAGTTAGCATCAGGAAAATCTGTATGGATATATGTGGTTGTGTCACATTACTTTTTTGGTCGTTCAGTGCAGTTTTGCATCTTGTTAAGCAGTTCCTTCTTATGCACTGATGCAGGAAGTGGACATTTTCAGGCAATAGTACAGTCATCCTGCCATCTCATTCTCATCAACAGCATGCCACGGTGATGTGCTCTGTGCTGTGTCGTGTTATTGATCTGTTGTATTCGTGGCTCTTTTCTATCATGGTTGTAAATAAAAACAGTTTGAATTATTGTTCCTCCAGCGACAAAAGCAAGAGAAGAACAAAAACGGTAAAGAAATCCTTAGAGCCCAAATGGAACCAGACCTTTATGTATTCGCCGGTGCACCGGCGGGAGTTTCGGGAGCGCATGCTGGAGATCACATTGTGGGACCAAGCCAGGGTGAGGGAGGAGGAGAGCGAATTCCTGGGAGAGGTAAGGAAACCAAACCCCACCCATCATGGACACTCACTGACAGCTTTATTAACGTAAAGCCCCTAACAAAGCTCTTAGCCATTGCAAGGTTTTGGTGGTCCAGTCCTTGTCCAACATGGAAATGGACCTTTGATGTTGTTGTGCATTGTGTAAAACTGCTGTGATAAATGAATAGACTTTGACCAGAGGGATGGGGTTGTTTGGGACAGACACTCGCTGTATGAGAGTATTGTAGTATGTGTGTGTTGTGTCATGCTGTAATTCTATCCCTGAAAAAACTGTTACTATGGAACCATTGGAGTGAGGAGATTTTGTGATGTGAGAGACATCCCTTTTCCTCTCGCAGATCCTTATTGAGCTGGAGACAGCTCTTCTAGATGACGAGCCACACTGGTACAAGCTACAAACCCACGATGTGTCCTCCATCCCGCTCCCACGTGCCTCCCCGAATGCACAGCGCAGGCAGCTCCATGGAGAGAGTCCAACGCGGCGGCTGCAGAGTATGTAACCCTTCTGTCACTGATACGACAAAATATCTTTAAATTTAAAGTAAAGAGAGAGTGAAAGTGGCCACCCTAAACATTTCAAAGACATATAAAATATACTGTTTATAGGCCGCCTATAAGAGCCAGGACAGATGGTTTTCTTTTACTTGATGTATGCAACTGTGGACAAGTCAGTAACATCCCTCTAGTCTGTATCAATAAGCTGACGCCACTCAACATTTACAATTAGGTTACTACTCATAATATATTACATCCAGGTTAGGTACATTTTTCCAAAATGATAAAATAACTGTAATTTGCAATAATTTACAAATAAGGCACCAAGTACAGTATACTTCTGTTCAGTTTTAGATATTTTGCCCACTGGTTTTCTGTTCCTGCTTTAGTTTATTTACGCTTTTAACAGCCCTTGTAGTTTATGTATGTTTTGTCTTTGTCATCATGTCACATCAACCTTAATACTTCTGCTTTTACAGACAAAGGCTCATATTCATACAACTCAGGTAAAGGCCCCCTGCACTCACAGGCAGTGCTGCTCTATGGAGCATCTGAGTGTTCTCCTGTCCTCTTCAAAGATGCATCCTGGTGCCCTAATTCTCACCCCCTTTTTCCATGAAGGGTGCATGTGTCTGCCGCCTTGCACAGATTTCAATGTGTTGAGCTGGTGTAAACTTTACACCACTTATTTGAAATCCACTTAGGGTATCAGACATGTGCACGCTCCAGGGAAATAGAGATTTAGGACACAGTGGTCTCTCCCTCTCTGTGTATTCACCTGTTAACTATCTCAAAATCCCATCCTGCAACCCACAACCATATCCTGCAAAACTGCACTCGATTCTCATCCCAAAGTATGAAGATATAAAAACCCAGGCTATCTGCCAGTCCTGGCAGACAAAATATACTTTGATTTTGACCACTTGCTTTTCCTCTGTGATGTATACATTTTGCCCGTTATTTCCCCTTTTAAAAGTGCACAAAATACTTTTGGCAAACTTTGCAGCCCAATCTGCTTTGCTTGTATTTGTGTGTCTTGAATGTGAATATGTTTTTGAAATTGTCATGGGATACAGTAGATGACACTGTTGCTGGTGTGATACTTTGTTTACTATTCTTAATCTGCTAAAACAGTGGTAGTGTAAAGAACCCTTTGATTATCTTTATGCATAATACATTATTTTCTAACCAAACCCCAAAATAGCTCATGTTATGGCCCTTCTCTCACCACTGTTGTATTCTCTGACCAGATACTGGCTTACACGCTTACTGTAGTTTGGGTTACGCAGAACTGCTTCACTGTGCTGCTTCTACTAAACACTTAAGGCTTGCTCGCTTCCCCCACCAGGATGATTTTCTGGGCGTTTGTGTTAGTGTGAGGTGAAAGAGCTGACAGCTGTAAAAAGTCTCCAGCCAACTGAGATGAAAGGTTGGGAGCGGCACTGCCAGAGTGCAGCACTTGTCATTTCTGATAAAGCACACGTGTCCAGTTGATTTAAGTTGACTGAACGGTGAAGGCGGTGGGGGGGCTGCAAGGAGGGGGTCCTACTTTAAAGAGAGGGGACAGGGAGGGGTGATAAGGCTACTAGGGAAGATGAAGAAATAGCTGTAAAGCCATATCACTTCTACTAACCCCACATTCACATGTAAATTGAATGATTGAATGTGTCATTTAAAAGTGCCACAGTTCAGATGACGAAAGATCTGCTGGTTTTGTTGAAGTCGAGCAGTGAAATGCAGCTGTATATATTATCCAAAACTGTTTGTTGTATTTGTGGGGTGCTGTGCGGCATGAGTTACTGACAGTGCAGTCATTGTGTGTTCATCTTGATGGATTCAGTTAGAGCCTTCAGTTGAACCAGTTACGTTCAGACCTGGGAGTCATAATGCTAAAAAATGGACGGATAAATGAACAAGGGAATGAAAACGACTTCCCCCTCTTCTCCCTATTTCTCCATCTCTCTTTTTCTCTTCTCATTCAATCCTGCGCCCTCTTCTCTCTCCTCTGTTTTCCTGTGTTTCTCTCTGTCTCTTCCTCTCAAAGGATCCCAGAGGATAAGTGACAGTGAGATCTCAGACTACGATTGCGAAGATGGTGTCGGGGTAATAACAGGTAATATATTAAGGTCATATTAACATGCAAAACTTATTAGTGCATGTGAATGAATTAATTGGTAATAGAAGTGAATCAAATCTTAAAAACATAATGGCAAAAAGACAGTCTGGAGGTACACACTAACAAATAGTTTAGTGTTTGCTGGATGTTTCACCAGGCCATATTATCATTTTTGGAATTTTATGTTTATTTGCTTTGGCCCTGAACTTATCTAACCTCCTGCATTCGCCATCCGTCAAATGCTCCCTAGGCCTGGAACAACTTACAAATACTGTTATATATCATATTAGCAGGCTAAAATGCTGCAGCCCACCAGCAGCAACAGCAGCACAGTGAGGGAGCACTGAGATTTTGTCTGCCTCTGCACTGCTAGTTGCTTTTCTGCTGTACTCACCGAGGCTCCAGCAGCACGCCCACGCTGCATTTCAGAAAAGGAGAAGCAGAGCTGTTGCCAGACAGAGAAAAAGGCAGAAAGAAAGACAGAAAAGTACTTAGAAATTTGCCCACATATAATATCCTCGAAGAAAGTGGTACTGAGATAGGTAGCAACGTCATATAAAAAAAGGCTTGCTTTAGTTTTTTCATGCAAAAGATAATGTTGGCAAGCAGAATGTTCTTTGCTAACCTCTTTCATAAATGTCATCCCATTTTTTTCTTTCACTTGAAGACCAAAGAAATTGTGCTGACCTTGTTTGCAGGAAAGCTGCTGGTAAATTGCAGGATGGAGGCAGCTGCCTGCACTGTCGGTTTAGCATGTAGCAATGCTTCGCCTCCCTCTTAGCAGATACAGGCCAAAGAGAAGAAGAGAGGAGACAAATGAGAGACATTAGAGAGGAAATGCATTGGAGAGAGACAGACAGAGAGGTGAACAGCTTCAGCCTGGGCTTGCCCATGATACTGTAGCTGAGGGAAATCCTCCTCCAACCTCTTTCTCATCTCATCTCATTCTCATCAGCCCCTCACTGCCTCACCATGCCAGTCCCCCTCACTTCATTCACAGTGAAGGGAATACCCCTTCACTCAGCTCTGGTCGCACCCTTCCCTTTACTTAGATTATCCTGCAGTCTTTACATTAAACTGCTGACACTATCTCTTTTAAATGGAGAAGAAAAACATTTCAGTGCATTTCATTTTACTGTACACTAACTGCTAGGTTTCTAATAGTTTTTTTCAGTGAAGTACACACTAGTAATTACTGCACAGGTTATGCTTATGTAATCCTGTCTTTCAAAAAGTGATTGCTGTTATTAGACTGTTTTGATGCAATAAAACTTAGAAAGTGACAAGTCATTTGCACATTCCTGTGTCCTGTTCACTACTTCTGCACAGGTGCAACCCACTCCTCTTGTTTAATCTTATTAAATGTCAATGAAGGTTATTTTATATGTGCTTAACAGGCCGACTGTGTTCATGCATGAAGCAGAATTTCAAGACGAAAAATAATTATAATTTGGCTTTGCATGGAAGTTGATTCCATGCAGAGCTGAAGGAGGTTCAGTGTTGGAAATACTGTTTAGAAATAGTGTTTTTTAAATCTAATATGCGTAATACTGAAGGAAATATATTGTTAATTTTGTTCTTGTTTTTAGATATAAAAACAATTGTTCAGACATACTGTACTTCTTGGTAGAAGTACAGTATGTACTATTCAGAATTTTTGAATTTTACTTGCATCCACTTTAAATCAGGATGGATCATTTAGTTTGACATATTTTAATAGATTTATTTCAACTATTATGCAATTACCTCTCATCAAAAAGAAAATCTTATCATATTAATAAGTCAAATTTCCTCAAGTGAAGGTCTACATTTCTTTATCATTACCTCCAATTTTTCCTACCTTTCCTTCTTTTCCAACTTTTGATTCAGGGTTTTCTTTAACTCATTTTAATGTGCTACACACTCTAATGAATATCAATCAACTTTAATAGTGCTAAGCATTGACCTTAACCATGGCTGCTAGCCATGTCTGATTATCGGTTAATGAACTCTTTCAAGTTCAATGGACTAATCAGTCTTGCAGAGAAAATTCATTATAATATTTCTGATTTTTTAAAGGCTATTTTCATGTTTAATGCACAATGTTAACACAGCAGATGAACTGCACCTTTATTGAAATCCAGTCCTCATTTTTGGAATATAGAGACTCAGCATAATGAAAATAGAAAATCTGTGCCTGTGCAGATTGGCATTTAGCATATATTTTATAAAGTTTGCTCTGTTTCTTCTAAGTTATCACAGTGCGCAGTTAAACTCGATCTGCATCATTAGCAGTCATCATTTTTTATTATCAGATGCTGCAGATTTAGCTCTTTCACTATAAAATACAATGAATTCACAAGCTGCTAAAACTAAGTCTCACCCTCTTAAATTTGTCCCTCCATCCCTCCTGTCCTTTATCCATTCTTGTCTCCACAGACTACCGACCAAATGGCAGAGACTTCCAGAGCTCCACACTGTCTGTCCCTGAGCAGGTGATGTCGTCCAACCACTGCTCTCGATCGGCTGATATTAACCGGGCGCGGTCGCGCTCTCCCAGCGTTCCCCCACCCTCCAGGTATCAAATGCTCAGTCCACCACTGGGCTAATCCTTTATTTCTGGGTACACAATGTGTTTTGTTTTTGATATGAATGTATTTAACACCCTTTATGACCAAATGCATGTTGTAGAAGGATGCTTTAATCATCCTGCTCAGGGATCGACCAATTCTGATATATGAAAGGTTATAAATGCTTTAGTAATTTAGTTGAACAAAATGCTACTTCAGGTTGCTCTGGAAAATGGGAATTTGAAATTAGTCACCCATTTGGGTGGGGTACTAAGTGCTGCTGTCCTCGCACTGCCACCCAAATGTCACATCACCCCTTTGTGGGATTACTCTAAATGCCTCACATAAACATGAGGCGATGTGCCCCCTGGCCAGTAGGGGGCAGTGTGTGGTGTGTAAACTACATGAGGGGTGATCCAGTCCGCTTCTGTCACACAGCAGAAGTCTGGACCCGGCCTTTGACCTTAGGCCTTCTCAGTACAGCTCCTCCACTAGAGTGGACCACCACAGTGTGTCAGAAGATAACTACTCACCTGACAGGTACACACACACACTCCAGCTTACACTTGTGTGCAGTAGATGCATGTACATAAGCAGGCATGCATGAACAGATGCTGACAAGCACAAGTGGGGGCTGATGAGTAGACATGCAGGGAGGTGTTTATGCACGCATATCCTTATGCACGATACCGTGGGCCCTTAACTCTCTCGAAACTGATCTTCTGTGTGTGTGTGTGTTTATATGTTTTTGCTTTTTAAGAGCAAATTTCTCCATTCCTTGGAAATATTTGACCAAAATATCTTGTAGAGACAGAAACTGATAGAGATGTGTGGATTTCCTATACCTTGATACTTGTTTCCTATACATGTTCCTTTATCATGTATAAAAATAGAGTTACTCCAAACCTCCATCAGAGGAATAAAAACAATTAAACACAGCAAATAGCCACTAAAAAGTACAATCCTTATGGATAGAAATTAAGCTGTCACTTCACATATGTATCCCAGTTATTGTCCTATATGAACACCAGACTTGGGTAAGACTACACTGTGTAAGATGAGTAGTTCAAGAGGCTGAAATTATGAAGGAAACATTTGGAGCCAGTGCTGCAAGTGCAGCACACAGTATGCAGTGTTTGCATGTATCTCACTATCTTTATGGAAGAGATGGTCAAGGGGAAGTGGTCAGTTATCCTCCATCAGCACTTATTTTCTGTGAGGCTTGGAAAATGTTGCTCCTAGAGTCTAGTCATAGCCTTGGCACTGCCAGGCCGCAGCTACTTTCCCCCGTCCAATTAACTTTATTTGATATTTCTGAGGCTTAGACTAAATCAGTGTCAGATGCAGAAAATGCACTTATCTAAATTGTCTGGGACAGTGCTCACTTGAGTGTATTTCCGCTGCTTTAATTAACAGTGTCCCGTTATTTATTGAAAACAGATGAAAATGACACAGGAAATGAGTCATGGAGAATTTGGAATTGCCCCAGAACACCAGCGATATTAAAAATCTCCACTGGAATTTGTATAGCTTTTTGTACGGCTGGTATTTTGTTTTAAACTTGTGTCATGTTCACTGTATTATCCTACTTTTTTATAAATATTTTTTGAAATTGTGTCTGTGAAAAAAAAGAAACCTTATGCAGTGTGTATATTCTTAAGTTGTTTAATCATCCAGTAACAGTGACACCAAGCAGATTTAGGTGTTTGGACTGTTCTGTTCCTTCCTCCGTGAATGCTGCTGGTGTGTTCGGTGTGCCACTTTCATCTGTCTGTGTGGTAAAGCTGAGAAAGACATCTCCTCACCATGCGATCTCTCAGCCTCTCTTATCTTCCTCGCCTGTTTTTCCTCTTTGAAACTGTTACATCAACCTTTCCTATGAGCTTTCTCAGTCTCTTTACATCCTTTTTCTTTGAGAAACCTCTCGTTCTCTCTCCCTTGGTTTCCTCACCCCTCCATCTGTCTGCCTATGACTCTGTCTATCTCCAATCCTTTCTCTCTCTCTCTCTCCTTTCCTCCTCCTCCTCCACTTCTTCGTCGGCGCCATCTCAGATCCATCTCTGTCTTCTCTCCTCCCTCCATGTGGTTGCAGCCATTTTCTCACCCTACCTCGAACCAGACATACTCAGCCTATTGATGATCCTCAAAAGGACCCCAGGTAGACTTTTACCTGAGCATGCATGAAGCCCCATCTCTGCACCTCCACTTTCCAACCCAACACCCCTTCAACTCCAACCCACAACCCATTTCTTTTCTTGTTGAAATCTTTCATTTGGTTGTTGAATACATGGCACTGATACTATGGCATGTTTTCTATCACAATAGTCTATGCACTGTAAGAACCTCATAGTAGTTACTCGTCATTAAGTCCTCTAAGCCTAACTATACTGCACTGAGGAAGTCAACATCACACAACATGGTTTTATGGATGCACTAAAGAGGCTACTTCATATTGCCTAGCCATTGTCAGTGCCATCAGTATTGTGTTGTGTTAAAGTATATATTTCTTCTGCAAAAGATCAAATATATACATAGTGTGTGGTACTTTTCAGTAGTACACTATATTTAGAAAATTAGTGACTCTGTGGCCATACACCTAATCCATCCAGTATCAGCATTGCTTATTCTCTCTTTTCATCATTGCAGTCATTCTCATATAAACATTCCTCTCCAGAAATGTACTATAGGATTTATAGATGAGCAAATTCCTCATTTGTCTTTTCACTATATCCACCAAAAGAGTGACTGTAGCAATACTGAAAATGGATAAGTGGTCTATGGTTGTGAAGTTTTGTCCAGCAGAGGTCGATTCTCCTGCAAACATGTTGATACATATAGTAGTGTATATTCAGTTTATATATAATCACTGGGAATTTAGACAGAGAGCAGACAGAGAAAGTCTGTAATAGGACTCCAAAAGGTGTACTCCAATTTTTCTTCCTTTGCAGGTTCTTTTTTTGTTACTTCCCCTTCTGCTGGTAAACAATTTAAAACTGACCAGTTGTGATATTTTTTCGCCAGCCGCAACCATCGTGTGTACCCAATCTGCCGAGAGGAAGCAGTCAGGTTACTGCGTTCCACTAGGATGGCCCGTGCCTATTCTGAGGGCGCCTACTCCTCCGACTATGACTATGAGAGGTATTGACATGCACTGCTGCTGCATCTATGCATCCAGCATCTTGTGGTCTCCTCAAGTTGTCCCTCGTCCGTCTTTAATTTATCCGTGATCGTACATGTGATGACAGAAAATGATATCCTGCCTGATATCGGTTTTTGTTAAAGAGTCATCACAGCTCTGAAGTTGTTGATGTAAAATAATACACAACTGCCTCTGTATGTTGAGGCTCAGAGCTATGTGTGTCGCTGATGTCAGCTGTATGTACACTGATTGTTGAGTTAAGTGCTGGCCAGCACCTGACTGTTTCTTCGTTGATGTCCTTGTTTATGTACCCATGTACATTAACAGCAGTATGTTATGATATGATCAGTGGTGTGTGTGATTTTTAGTGTTGTCCTTTTTTTTTTTACATGCTATTAGCAGCAGCTTATTGCTCACCTATACAATGGCATCTCTGATGCATTGCTCTGGGCTGCACAGTAGCTTTGTAAAGTCTGTGTCTGCCCTTTGGCTTCTTGTCTCTGGCCAGAATGGGCTGCTGGGCCATTCCAAGCATGCATAGAAAGGCCTGTTGACACCCATCCATCCCCAGGAGCCACGACAGCGTCCTGGTGCACCAATAAAAAGAAAGAACTGACATCACCCTCCCTCCTTCCAGAGAATTGCTGTAAATGACTCCACTTTTCTCTGTCTTCAATCTTTCGCCTTTTGCCATCTGGCTTTCAGTCAGGAATAACGTGATGTTTGTGCCATTTCTCTCCTCACCAGGAGGAAAAAAGTGATGAGTCCTCAGAACCCAGCCTGAGAGCCTGACTGACTTTATTAAAGTGTCACAAAGTTTCCCTGAAGCCCAGCTTGGCTCGACTTCAGCCTCAGCCTATAGCCTAGATAGCCATTAACGAGAGCTCTCCGTCTTCTGCTCTCCCCCTTTCTTTTCGTCTAAACCAGCAAAGAGGAAAGTAGCTAGCATTTCAGTGTTATCCACAGAGGAATAGTATAGATTTCCCTCCTCTCTTCATACAGATAGCTTGTTTCTGTCACCACCCAGGCAGAGTTAAAACAACAGTGAGAATTAAAAAGAAATGAGGGCAGAATAATGAAACAAAGGGCACATGGAAGAGAAGGAGATGGGCATTAGTGGAGTTTGAGCCTTTTGGCAAGTGTCTTAGTTTAGGTGATTTCCCCTCAGAACATGAGAAAATGTTTTTCATGGTTCTGTTGTTTAAGTGCATCGCCCCAGAGTGTACCTTGAGTGGGACTAAGCCTGCAGCGTATACGCATCAAAACAGCAGCTTCTACAAGAACACAAAACTAATATTTTGGACTGAGTTTGAATCCAGTGACAATATTGAGCAGCGCTGTTCCAAAGTGCAGTATGTGTATGTCATGGCTATATCTATATATATATATATATAGAAGTTTGATTTGTAACAGACATAACCTTCACATAACCCATACATCTTTGGCCATAACAACCTCACAATGGAAATCCACCAATGATTATTTTGACCATCAGTATAAATGACTAGATAAAGAATGTCAAAGGCTACTTCAGGTCACTGACTGATGAGCCTTAGTTTTGCTGTTGGAGACAGAAAGGACATCTCCTCTACTGGACAATTTTTCATACTGCAAAAGGCTACAGACACTACAAGGCTATGACAAGATTGTGTTAATTATTACAATTAAATAGATTGACACTGAAGTAAAAAATGTTCTTGCACATTCTGAAAAACTTTCAATAAGTCAGGATTTTAACTTATTTAAAGAAGTCTTTTGGTGTCTATTAACCTTATTAGAAGCAGCTCCCACCTATTTGTATTGTACTGACACAAACATGTCTTCTGCACTTCAGAATAAAAATGGTATAATGGTTTAGTGAAATAATGTTCTTTATATTAATCATATAAACTCTGTGAGATTTATGAATTTAAACTTTGAACTTTTTGAACTTTTACAGTTTGTGCATGCTCTAAACCTCTGTACTTGTGGCAATGTCTAAAGGCCAAGTCAAATACTTCACTTGTCTGATATGTGCAATGTGATCCAGTTTTATGAAAAAACTTTTTTTTCCTTTTCTCTCTGCAAAGGTAAACAATATCCTTCTACACTCAGTCAATGATTTTCCTAATTGAAAAACCTCACCTGCTTTTTTTCTCCAGCTTTAGATCAACAGGATTTGTCTTCATCCTCTATGTGCCAAAAATACTTATGTTTGCTGGGTATTTTTAAGGAAATATAGATATAAACAGATATAACAAGCCAAAAGCAATGTAAAGATTCACTTTTTCCTCACATTTCACTCTACCTCAAACAGAATGCACATGAACACTCACCCACCATGTATAGAGAGCACATGGCCCCTGCCAGTTCTACACAATCTGAAGACTTCACAATTAATTCACTACAGGAACCATAAATCAGACAGGATCCACCTATCCGTCTGTCCATACTGTCCAACCCTTAAAATTAAGTAATTCAACTATTAATTGAGAATAATAGACAATGCTGAACAATATGTACATTTTACAAATTCCAAAATGACCACTTCAGTGATCATGTATGGATGGAATGAAATTGATTAACAATTGTACATGCAATTCTGCAACCTTGATTAAGGTTGTTACAGTGGAAACAGGTGGTGTTTTAACATTAAAGTGTTGTCTACTGCTCTCTAAGAGTTGCTGAATGATTTCATTTTATCACTTTAAGGACCATACCTGTATTCTTTGCTTGTTTTAATCAATTTACTGCAAGGCAGGCTGTAGTGTTCTATATTTTTGAATGTGTTTTTCCTACTTAACATGTAGCATTATTGCACATTCATTTCAAAGCAGGATGAAAATCAGCTCATGGAGACATTTGGTAGTCCATGACAGTGAATATGTCAACCACAGATAGGTTTAGAAATCTGCACCCACATTACAGTGCAAATGTAATGAAATTTGACCATACTTGAACAATAATGGTGTTTATTCTGATTTCCTGTAATTCTCATAAAACAACAAACAGAATTGAATGGTAAGTGGCTGGTTGGTAGGTGGGAAAAACAAGTTCAGAAATAATGTAGTAAAGTGTAGTATTTGATTTGTAGTAAATGGGTTAAAACATAAAAAAAAAAAAATCCCAGGTATGTTACTTACACACATGCACCTTGGAGGAGTTTTAAGGGCATTTCTCTGCCCTCTGTACTGTCCACCCTGCCAGCATACTGTCCCTGCCCTGCTGGGGCCCCACTGAGTGCCTGCCTATCTCTCAATAACCTCTGTAGGAACCACGGAGCCATGGATAGACACGAGTATCACAGCAGGTCCCGCTCTGCAGACCAGCGGCCCACTATAGAGCGCCCCACATCCCGCTCGCGCTCCACTGAACGCCCCCACGACTCTTCGCTCATGAGGTCCATGCCGTCTCTGCCATCTGGGAGGTCCGCCCCCCCCTCACCTGCCTTGACGAGGTGTGACCCAGATTGGGGACGCTAACCAGCTTAGCACAGCAGCAGACTGGGGTTTTAGTTGTATAATCATTTCCCTGAGGCATAGCTACTCTGGAGGGAGACATAATTTAAACATTATCTTAAAATATCAATAAGTATACCAAAAAAACACTTTTTTTGGCTAAGAAACATTATTAGATTAAAGCCCAGTGAATGCATTAAAGCTAATATTATATAGCTAACTTGGAATATGCAATATAGACAAAGGTCACACAGGTAACTTACGTGATCTTAGTTAGTTTAGTTAGTAGGCTAGCTACCTAGCTTATCCATATGGCTTTATGTTTATTTAGACAAGCTATGTAGCCTGCTAACCCCCATAGTACATTTTTTACATTTTTATTCATGCTATGCTAATCTAACTACTAGCTAGAACTAGCAGATTTGTGGAAATCTCTGGTTCTCATACTTCCACATTGAGGTTTAAATCAACCAATAAGATTATTTCTGCCCCCAGAGCAGCTCCACCTCTGCTAAATGTTTGCATAACTAGAACGTTTGTAGAACAACCAGTTCAGACCCCGTCCCATGAGCTCCCACCCACCCTGAGCCTGACTAATTCACAGAATGAACCAGAAAAACCACATCACTACCACCTACCTCCCACCCTGCCAATACCCTGCTTCCCTGCCTCACCTCACCTCACCTCACCTCACCTCACCTCACCCACTACCCCTTCACGACTACCCCACCACCCACCTAGCCACTTTCTGTTTTGTCCCCAAAAGCACCGGTGCTGTATTTTCTTTACACATGTCCCAGGCACGATCGACTCCTGACACCGTAGAAAGCGTGCTGACTCGTTTTACTTTGGAACACACTGCTCATACACATTTGTGAGTATAGCAGTGATGGGCCAACATTTTACTTTGATTTCATTTACTAACATCAACCGATGCCGTTTATCTTGTGATGGCATTCTGTTTTTTTGTTTGTTTTTTTACCTTTTTTTGTTTTGAGTTGCAGCCTTTTGGGGACAGTCTGAACGCATGGTCGCACTGGTCTGCTGTTTCTGCATTGAACTCTTCTCTCCTTGCAGCTTGATGAGTCGACTGTACATGCGATTCACACCTGGCATCTTTTATTGCAGCTCAGTTCCCTACAGTTGATGTGTCCCTCCACTCCCATGCCATGTGCCAAACATCATTGCTGTGTGCATTGGTTTTATATTTTGAGATATAAGACACTTTGTAGATTTCAGATAATCAGGAAATCTTTGCAAAGTTACTAAATATGTAAATATTTGCATTACGTAAAACAATGTCAAGCTGTAGACTGTTTACATGGAGCTATATAATCACTATTAGTTATGTCACATAGAAGATTCAGCTTTAAATCATTAAACAAATATGATGATCTCTCAGTTGGTACAATTACTGTCTCTGATGATCTCCAATTGAGCTTAACAGTGACTAGCATCAAAACAAGCAAATATGTGATCTAATATATATTCTTAATCATTAAACTAATGCGTCTCCCATCATAGTATAGTATATAGTATAGATAACTGAATTTGTCTCACACTGTGATGTGGGTGCGACATGGGTTGGCCCTGCATCCACCATCAGATCTTGTCCTAATTTGTATTTTACCCCATTGTCCACTACTTTTTGTCATGTAGGGCGCATCCTCGTAGTGGATCAGTCCAGACCAGTCCCACCAGTACCCCCATGTCCAGTAGACGAGGACGCCAACTACCACAACTTCCACCTACGGGGAAAGACAGAAGTAAGTCACCAGGTTGCTTTGTATTTGCATTACAGGGTTACTGTCTGTAAATACACGTCTATTGAGTGAGGAAATCTTTATATTAGTTGGATAGTGTGTTTCTGTTCAGTATCTTCCAAAGATATTGTTTTTAATTGGTGGCCCAGCTGATTGGGACTGAGGAAGAGCTTTGGTTTTACAGCAGTTGCTGACTCTCACACTTCTTTTTTGACCGAGACAGGAAGGATTATTATTTGCTGTTGGAATCTCCCACTATAAGCTATAGATCATATCATATATGCAGAAGGATTTTTCTTTGTTGATTTATGTTTTAGTGGTGTTTACTTTTCCTTCCATCCATAACAAATCTACTCGGTTCCTTTTCCATTTCTCTCTCAGAAGATGGAGACGAAGGAACAGAGCCTTGTGAAGGTCTGTACCTGAATGTAAGGGTTTAGTCTTTCAGACTGGGAATGCTGGTTAAGCAGCACCTTACTCTGAAGGCCGAAACCCTGTCTGCAACGGCGGGTGGCTGGGTTCACTGGAGGCTAAGCGTACTGTGTGCTCCTTGAACCCTCCCTCTATTGCAGCTGTGTTTAATGTACAGTTCAGATGTCCTGTGCCGTTGTGTTGTACTTACCTGTAGGCCTGTCTGGATCCTACTATTGATTATCCCAGTGTGGTGTTCAAATGTAGCCTCCCCGTTTCTGTGTTTTTATTTTAGCTATTTGGACTGCTGCGATAGCTAATATAATGCTTTATTGTCTGTACATACTAAACAGGGTGAACTCGAGCCTTTGAACAGCTTTAAAGCACAATAGTTTGAACTTTTCACATCTTCACAACTACAATGTGACATTTCAACTCATTTGTTCCTCAGCAATCCTTGTTGCAAATGTGTTGTAGCGATTTGTGACGTGCACTATAAGAAGAACTGTAATGAAAGAAATTATTATTTCACTTGTGTCTCAGTGAAAAACAAAGACTGTTGTAGCTTGGAGGGAATGACTGGGAGAAAGATAGAGAGAGGGCAAAAAGCTCAAGCAGTTCTAGAGAACTTGTCAAAGCACTCACAGAACTCTTTCATCATTGTCAGAGTCCATGAGGGCTTTCCCTGTCTTCTGTACAGTTGCCAACCAGCCTCTCTCTCTCTCTCTC